ACCGAGAGGAAAAAGTCTTGCTGCCAGTTATCTAAGTTACTTGCAGTCAAGGAATAATTTTTCATAATAACAGAAAAAGAAACTTTCAGAAAGGGTATATAGGGTTTCTTTCTACTTCTTCAAGAAGAGAAAATACCTAAGGTATTATTATAAGAAACCAACTCCTACAAATAAACTGACACTGACATTATTTATTAATGCTTTCAGAATGACAAAAAGTGACTTCATGCAGGAAATTAATATGCTTATGGGCTTAATGGACCATTACTGGATATGACCAGTTGGCCTAATAAAATGAAGTTCACTTGATTTTATTGCCCTGTTCCTATTTATGGAATTTTATTGACCTATTCCTATTTGGAAACCTTAACCCAACTGGACCAGAAAGAATAAATGAACATGAAAGTGTTAACATTATTACTACCATAAAAATAAGGATCTTTTTATTACAGTATAATTGTTGTCCTTCATTGGAAAAAAAAATCTTCAGATTTCTCTTTTAACTCAACAACTGGTGTGGCATTTATTTGGTCATAAACATTTATTGAGCATCTACTGTGTGTAAAACAAAGCACTGTTTTAAATAAGTATGACACAAAGTTTAGACAAAGATCATGTCCTTAAAAAATTTAAATGCACTAGGAAAATTAAGACACACACATAAATAATTATTACCACAATAGATTCCAGAAGAAAACATAAATTATCCAGAGATTTCAGGAGAGATACAGTTCTAATGGACATACATATTTAGCTTCCTGAAACTGGCCTGTGAGCGAAATAGAGCAGGGGGTTGCTTAATGTCACAAATTTTAGTAGGAAGAGATCTTTCTGCATTCCATATTTCCCAACATACCTGTTCCCAGATACTTAGAGCACATGTAAATCAGGATCAAATCTCATTCCACAGTTAAATAGAATGCTTAAAATGCTGGTCCTTCTTTGAGGTAGAAATCACAGACTTAGATTGCACACTGAAGTGTAAATAACTGATGTCAGATTTTCCCCTAAGAACAGATTTTTGAAAGAAATGGAAGAAGAAAAGACAGAATGAAAGACTGAAAGAAGCTAGGTATCTGAAGGAAGCAATAAAAACCACAGAGAAAGGAAAAAGCAACACAAAAAACTTCTGAGATTATTTACTGGTTTTCCATTATTCCCTAGAGTAAGCTAGGAAACAACCTGAACCGATAGGTATTAAACAAAGATAGCTTCATAGGCACAGAAATACAAATGTTTTTATATTTATATGTAGGCAGACTATAGATAAAAGGATATTTCAGATTTAAAGATGAAAATAATGCATACATGTTTTCTCATATTAAAATATCTACTAAGAAACTAATTGCTTAAAAATTCACAATTGACTTGGTGTTTCTGCAGAGAGAACCAGTGTGAGAAGGTCTAGCAACAAGAGGGGCTAAGAAGCTCAGGTGCATTGTGAGCTCCCACTACCTCAACCAAAGCCCTCCTAGAGAGACCTGGCCAATGCTCAGTTTCCCTCCTTGCAGCAATTGGTTTTATAAATCCAAACTATTCTGGATTTTCTCTTCTTGTTCCTTCCCCTCCCCAGTTACTAGAATGCTTCATCTGCTATGGTCTGTTAATGTCACTCGACTCTCAGAGTCATCAAATTCCTGCAACATGACATCAGAGGCATATGCCTTAATGTTCCTCATTCCATATCAGAACATTCTTGAATGTTCCTCAGGCACTTTACATGGTACAAACTAAACTTATTTTATAACTTTAAAAACCCTGTCCTATAATCTCCATATTTCAATCTAGCCTATCTCCAATCCAGGCACCCAATTGTCATATCAAAACCCATCCCTCTCCCTAACCCTCAATTGCTTAATTCTGCTAGGAAAGGCTTTCCTACCTGTGCCTCTGTTTTATTCCTACTACCCCTGCCTCAATTTAGGGCCTTGCTATCTCTTGCCCAGACAATCAGACCTCATATCTGGTTTCTTCACTCCTCTTCCTAGTTACCTGTCACACTACAACCAGGGTTATTCTTTTTGTGAACGAATATGACCACAGGACCCTTACTTTACAAATTCCTCTGCTGTCTCCAGGCTAGCTGGCCTATAGATGAAGTTCAAACTCCTTGGGTTGGCACATAAAGCCATTTATGATCAGTCCTCAAATGACCTGTCCAGCTTTAACTCTCATCATTCTTCCATACACACCCTAGGCTACAGTTAGACTGAACTTGTCCCCTTTTCCGGAAATGCCATGCCCCTGTCGATACAGCCTGTGCCTAGATATTCCCTATGCTGGGAATACGCTTCCCTTTTTACTTTTCCTTTGAAAAACTCTTAGTTATTGTCAACTCTGGGGTCAGTGCCACATCCTCTGTGAAACCTTCAGTTATGGACTAAATGCTGCGTCCCTCCAAAATTCATATATTGAAACCTAAACCCCAGTCTTCAGAACTGTGAGAAATAAATGTTGTTTAAGCCACCCAGTTCATGATATTTTTACCCTCATCCCAAGCCAACTAAGGTACTTTCCACTATTCTCCCTGAGATTAAATGCTCCATCTCTCATGCTTCATCCATAGCTCTGAGAAAACGCTTAAAGCATCAGTGCATCTTGTATTTATCTATCTCCCTGCTGGACTGTGTGACCTTCTCTCAGGCAGAAACCATGTGTTAAGAGTTACCACCTTGCATAACCTAGCATAGCAGTAAATGATCAATATGTGCTACTGAAATTCATCAGTATTAATACAGCAGAAATGTGATTCAATGATTATGAGGAGGGTTCAGTTTAAACACTACTTGCCAGATGAATCCTGAGCTTAATCTTTTTAAGGAAGACATTAGGAAGCATCTAAATACCTATTGGAAAATTGATTGTTTACATGGGTTGACAAGAGGGACAAAGTGATAAGTCACACAAGGAGGCAAGGTCCCAGCAGCAGATGGTACTCAGGAGGAGATAGACTATGTATATTATTGTATATAATTTACTTTAAAATGCTCAGTATAGACCACGGCCAGCAAATCTCTCTGAGCCAAGTCTGGGTCTCTATCTGTTTTTATAAAAGTTTTTGTTTTATTTTGTTTTGTTTTGGTGCTGGGGATTGAATCCAAAGCCTCATGCATGCTGAACCACACTCTGCCACTGAACCACAGCACAAAGCCTATCTTTGTGATAAGTTTTATCAGAACACAGTAATGTTCATTCATTAAAGTATTATCTATGATTACTTTCGTACTTCAAAGACTTCTAATTAGAACAGAAATTGAATGACCTTCAAGCCAACAGTGTTCAATATATGACCCTTTATGAAAAGCAAAGTGTGCTGACCCTGGAATAGACCACATGGTATAAAAGTGTGTGTTAATTTCAAAACAATCCAGGGGCAGTTTGTGGCCCTAATTGGTATTAATCATCTTGAAGTCAGTGTTTATGGGACTCAAAAATATGTTGCAGGCCTTTCTGTTCTTTTTGGAACAGGGTATAAAAATTAGTGAGACTTATAGTCTGTGCCCTTAAGATTTGTATCCTAGGCTGAATGCCCTTGGTCCCATTACTGATCTAATGTTTCTTGAGGCCTCAGTTTAATAGAAGGTGATGTTAGAATTTTTTTTTATGCTAGAGATTGAACCCAGGAGTGTTTAATCACTGAGTCATATCCCCAGCCTTTCTTAATCCTTATTTTGTGTTTTGAGACAGGATCTCCCTTAGTTTCAGAGGCTGGCTTTAACTTGCGATCCTCCTGCCTCAGCTTCCAAAGTCACTGGAATCAGAAGCAAGCACGCCACACCCAGCTATTTTTACTCTTGTTCATGATGCTCTTTCATTTCAATGAAGTCTTTATAAAAGAATAACACAGGGGCTGGGGTTGTGGCTAAGTGGTAGAGAGCTTGCCTGGCACGTGTGAGGCACTCGGTTCAATCCCCAACACCTCATAAAAATAAAACAAGTATATAGAGGATAACACAGTAGTGCATGCTTGTAATCCCAGCAACTTGGTTGGGTGAGACAGGAGGATTGCAGGTTCAAGGCCAGCCTTAGTAATTTAGTGAGACCTTAAGCAACTTAGCAAGACCCTGTCTTAAAATTTTATAAAAGGGGCCTGGGTACTGGGGTACATGTAGCTCTGTGGTAAAATACCCATGAGTTAAATCTCTAGTACCAAAAAAATAATAAAATAAAAAGAGAGAGAGAGAGAGAGAGTAACACAGGGACTTCATGAAACTTAAAGAACAGGGCATGACTGTGCCTGCCCACTTGCTAAAGGATGTCCGTATATGTAGCAGACACCAGTCTAGACTTGCTTTAGTCATAAATTGGTGAAGAAGAGACTGTAGGAGTTGCTTACTAGTTTGCACCTAAAATAACCTACTAACTGCTCATGGTATGATTGGCTTAAATTTGTTTCCAGAAGCTTGCTATAAGGACAGTCACATTTACCTCAAAATTCATTCAGGAGCTAGTTATTTTCATGCCCTATGACCAGGAAGCCCTGGTCATGTATGTATACCTCCCTTCCATCCCCACTTTAAGCATAGAGCTGGAAGCTCAGTAAGCAAGAATGTGGCATGGAACATGGGAGAGTGACCAGTTGGACACGTGCATACTTCAGAAAAACTTGAAAAGATACAAAGTGGGGAGTGGAAGCACAGATGAAAGAAGAAGAGTTGTGGCCCTGGTATAAACAAATCTGCAAATAGTGTATTATTAACCTGTTCTAGTGCACTCGATTGCTTTGGTAGTGACAGTTGTGATATATAAATATTGTTTGCAATATTTAGTGGGTAATTACTTATCAAATATGGAATTTTAAAAAGATCTCATATTCTTGTTTATAAGCCCTAGAGCTGTTTCAGAACTGGAAATCTTGGGTCAAGGTGGTAATATTTGGAGCCAAGCACATGAAAATATCCATATCCCAGCTGATTCTGACAGCGCAGAGCAAGAAGGTCTTTGATACAAAATAGAATACACCATTATTAGCTCAAAAAGTAAGCAAAACAGTTACTTACTGACTCAGAAATTTCTTCTGGGGGCTCTGGAGTAGATACGCCAAGTTCTTCCCCCAGCACCCCAAATTCAGGTTGAGATGATGAGGAGCCAAAAACTTTAGCTAAATAGGAAGGAAAATCCTCACAAATTTTTGTAGACAACTTCTGCTTCAGGGTGTCTTTTAAAAGAAAGGGAGAAAGTAGGAGCAATGAAACATTACTTAAAACCTGCTTAAAGCAATCAGCATAAGAAATAATAAGAAATTCCCCATTCTTTGAAATAGACTGCTAAAGTGAACTGATTTAGTTCATTTTTTTCATTATGTATAAGAGGTTATCTAAAATAACTTTATTTAATTTCATAATACACACCACCACAAAGAGGCAAAAGAGGAACTTAAATGCTTACTTATCTAAAGTGTCAGTTAGCTGTGAATGTAAACCTAACTCTATGTAAAGGGTTAGCTTTGTCCACATTAAGTTATATAGGCACTTAGTCTGGTTTTAGGGAGAGTAAAAAGCCAGCTAATGCAAAAGAAGTATATTCCTCACTGCCTGTAGCAAAGTAAAAACTCCTTCAGATAAGATGATAAAGCTCTTAGGTTATTAAAATAGAATTTTTTTCCTGAAACATGAATTACTTCTGGCCATTCTAACACATGAACAGCCCAGTGAGACTGAATATATCAGACCCACCAGTCACCAGGCAGGGGGTTAAGATCAGGAAGCTTGGAGAAGGGAGGAATAGAAAGCATAAGCTTTCTGAGCATGGTATGCTACCCTTAGGACTGGTGGTGCTGGCACTAAGGCATGGGCAGGGCATGAGGCCTGGACAGTTGGTGCCCGGCCATGTCAGGCCCCACTCCCAGGTAGATGGTGGAGGAAAGATAACGACAAACTGAAGCCTGCAAATGCATTAAGCATAATTTTACATCACAAGCTTTCCAGGTCTGGGCCCTGCCAGCATCAGTCATCAGTTTCCAAAGAACTGGAATATATTTCACTGTAAAGTGATACAATTTAAACAGAGATGAGTCAGGATATTAGGCAGTTTCATTAGTAAGTATCAGTTCATGTGAAAGGGTAAATTCAGCACAGGGAAGCCCATCAGATTAGCATTAGTATGATGCATATCCAAAAGGCCGTTCTCCAAGATAAATTCCTGATATCAGCACGTTTTCATAAAACCACAGAGCAGAACAAGCTCTCTAACTAATCCCAATTACTTGTGTTTCCCATCTCTTTAGCTAACTGTAACATTATCATTTGACGAGCATCTTTAACTACATTTTTTTTTTTTTTTGTCCATGGTTATGTCCTGCCTTGTTCCATCCCTTACTCTAGTTAGGTAACTTTCTGAACATTAACCAGTCTTAACAATATCCCCAAGTCCTAGTCTTTTTTTTCATTCCTGTCCATTGACCATGGATACTTCAGTTAAACAACTCCAAGGTCAACTCAGCCCTTACTACGCATGAATAAAGACATGGTATTCTACCCCCCAAACTGGAGGATACTAAAATTTTTTTTGAACATTGATAGTTTATGAGTTACAATTTAATGTTGGCATAAGCTTCATTAATCTCCTGATTTTCATTTTCGGTAAAAATCTAGTGACATGATATTTGAAAGAATAACGCAAATTCCTTTCTCCTGGGGCACCCAGCCTTACCTAGCAGGGTCAAGAAGTCATCAAAGTGATATACATGCTGTGGATCAGTAGCAATTAGATTCATTTCTTTAAGGAACATGTCAAAATTGGGGTCACTTTTCTTCACCACCCCAATCACAAATATCTCCACACCAGTGTCTTTGGCTTCTTTCACCACTTCTGTCAGATTCTTTTTATCTCGGGAGTCTGTCTGTCCATCCGTGATGACCAAGGCCACCTTCTTGATGCCTGGCCTGGCACTCTTGAACATGTCATTGGCAGCCTGCAGGGCAGTGGCCGTATAGGTACCTTCCCCCAGATACTGCATGTTGTCTACAGCCAACTTGAAATCATCCTTGCTGGAGAACTGCCTCAAATCAGCCACTATTTCCACCTTATGACTATAGTTGATTATGCCTATGCGGGCTGTGGCGAGATCCACAGCAACGCGGTCAGCCAGAGACTTCACAAAATTTTGGATGATCCGGAAGTTGTTTAGCCCCACACTTTCTGAACTGTCAATCACAAACACCAACTCCAGGGGAGTGTCTTTGCATTTGCGACCACAACCTACAAGACAAATGTTGAGACCAAAAAAAAAAAAAAAAAAAAAAACTGCAGGAATGAAACCAAACCATCACTGATTAGCACCACATTAGGAGAAGAGAGGAAAGAATTAACTTGGGACCTGAACTATTATTTTACTTTCCTGTGACTGGGAACAGCTGACATCTGTCTCCCTCCAGGCTTCTATACTTGACTCAGATTCCATAACAAATAATAAACACCTATGTGTTCATTTCTTAAATTAAAATATATTTTTTAAAAGGAAAGGCAGCAGAACACAACAGACACTAGTATGGCAATATGTAAATCAATGGATGTGTAACTGATGTAATTCTGCAATCTGTATATGGGGTAAAAATGGGAGCTCATAACCCACTTGAATCAAAGTGTGAAATATGATATATCAAGAAATATGTAATGTTTTGAACAGCCAACAATAAAAAATTAAAAAAATAAAAAATAAAAGCTAGCATGCCCAGTGTGTGCCTTCCCAATTTTATTACTCTTCCTCTAAGAGGTAACTACTGTCCAAAATCTGTTCTTCATCATTTCAACATCTGTTCTTAATCTACAGCTGAAAGCTTCAACCCTTACATGAAACTGGAGATTTGCTCTCTGGCATGGAGGAAGTATTGGGATGAGAATTTTTAATTGTGTGGGGGAAGGATTGAGGTCATAAACTATACACAAGAGTAGCTGCCCACAACTACTCTATTTATGTCTAATCACCCACAATGAGAACTGTTGTGGCTTCCACGTTATCAAAGAGACTGTTAGTCCATCCAAGCTGTGAAACTGTTTGGGAGGAGGGATTCCAGAGAGCACTGGTCAATAAACAGCTTTTGTTTAAGTCAGTAAACAATCATTCAAAGCAATTCTAAGAGTCCCCAGAGGATAAAAAATTATCAAAGTTTTCTTCTTTTATATATATATATATATCTCCTCCTGTTGCTCACCAACCAACCATAGAAAGTCATCAGGAAACTGGTGTTATTTTCACAGGGCTTTTAGTACCCAGAACCCATGTCCATATTGGTCTGTCATCATAGAGTTTCAGGCTGGCTCTTAGGTCCAGATGCCTTTTAGGGGACAAGCCAGTTCTGGGATTCCCTGTATGGCAAGACAGTGATGTCCCTGCCTTCGACCACTTTAAGCACAGGAGTCTCTCTCATCTTTATTTCATTATTATTGTTATTATTATTATTTGCCTTTGGCTGATCTCTTTTCTTTACTTCCTCTTTCTGACAACTATTTTAAGTCTAAAGTGGTCCATCATAGATTCATTTAGATATCACTGTGAAGCAAAATGAACGACTGAATGTCCTTCTGCCTTTGAGATTCAGGATAGCCCTAGAAATCATGTTCAAAACTCAACTCAGACTTCTTGACTTCAGGAAAAACACAGACATTAAGCCACCAGCTAGACTGGACTTGTGTACCAGTTGGTTTTTGTAGTCATATTTCCTGTTTGTTTGTTTTTCCCTTCCCTAGTTCAGGTAAATGTCACAGACATGAGCACTGAGCTTACAAAAGACCAGGCTACCCACACACACTAAGTCAGGAACCTCAGGCTCCCTAACCACAGCAAAGACAACTTCCTTTGCTCAGTCAGGGTTCCCACAGCCTCGCTCACTGCTTCCTCTCAGTTTCTCTCTGACTTTGTACACCCCTCACTAGCCATATAATACACATCCTCCGAGGGAACTCCTTACCACACCAACACAGACCATAGTGAGGATGGTACCTTAAATGGATGGACTTTTTTCTTTGATAGTTAAATCTTACCACATATTTTAATAATGAGCTCAATAATTTCTTCTCTCTGGGGAGAAAAAGGAAAATGTATTAGCATTAAATGTATGACTATAGTATTTTTTTCCCAGAGTCTTAAAAGTTGTCTTACTATAATCAGCAGTGAGCCATTTGATGTAATCCTTCCATTGCAGAAAATGAAATAGCACAGAGGTTTAAAAGTTGGGTATAATAGATCATAACTGAAATGAGGTTCAGTTGTGAAACTTAATCGCTCAGAGTTCTAAAGTTCAATTGCAATTTCAGCATTTATCAGCTTGTAACCTTGGCTATTAGGTGACCTAACAGTGTCTAGATTGCAGGGCTGTGGTGCAGATGGAATGAGGTAAATACACATACAGCTCTTAGCCCGAGGTCTGTCCCCACTAAGCACTACCTACACAATAGCGAGGTGCAGACGTGCGCGTTCAGTAATGTGACTTAAACCACTTAGTTGCTTAGTGTAATGAGCAACCAAGGCATGCTTCAGGGTCTAAAAGAATTCATTCCAGGCTGAAGTCTCTCCTGTTTCTTCTGTACCAATCCTCAGTTTTGAAAGTCCCCTCCTCAGCTTCCTACTACTCTCACTTTGGCTCTTCTAGGAAATGTCCCTGTGTTTCTGAATGCTCCTTCCTTCATCCTGCAGTACGTCAGCTCCACAGAAGGGCCTGAGATCACATGGGTACCAGAAGTCAATTTGTGATGTCCTGCCCTGTGTGGCAGGTTTAAAGTGACTGAGATGAGACTACAGAAGGCAGGAGACCACATTTGCCAAAGACATGAAGCTGAAAAGGATGATTAACAGAAGCTTAGATTTCAATAGGAAGGAGCCATTGGACCTAATCCAAGAAGATAAAATTTAACAGATTCAGGAACAAAATTTTAAGGAATTAATCTATAATGACAGAATTGGGATAAAGGTGACATATCTGGTAACATGGATTAACAGCAATGAGATGGGAACTATTCAGTCATTTAAATCTAAGTTTTTAAATCGTAAACTGAGCAAAAAACAATCATTCCAAGTAACTATGTAAGAAGACCCTCTAATACCATGCTGAGTTACATTACAAAATTACATAAAATGAAGAGTTCAACCATGTTTTCTCAGAACTTTGCTATACTTTTCCATGTTCAGAGAGACATTTAATAAATCTGTAATTAGAATGTATATGGAAAGGAACATGTATGAATTTATATTAAGTATAACTAGAAAGGGGAAACATAAATTTATATTTTCATGTTTAACTTTTTAATGTAGAGAAAATAACTCTATACTAAATTTTATGATTATAGTTTTGCACTTGACCTTATATCATAATTAATTTCCCATATTGTTAAATGTTCTAAAAAACTTCATCTCTAAAGTAAAAAATGTGATCATTTTTGGATATATAGCTCTCTGATGAATGCTGCTAAGGTATCCTTCAGAGAAGTTACAGTAACTGACATCTCCAATAGCAATATAGAAGGAACAAAAGGAGTTACACATTTTGAATATGGGGAGTGAAAGCCTTCTGCAGCTAGAATAAAGCAGTTGGTGTTGAACTAAGATGATGGCTGACCTAGTGGGTAAATGGTAGAGTTATATAAGAAAACCTATTTTATTTTAGACATACAATGCTAGTTGTTATTATTTTCTAATCACTGCAATTTCATAGACCAAAACATTTCATTGTTTTAAATTGATTTATTGAATTGCTAGTGAAGTCAAATTTTATTTCATATGCATGTTTCCAAGTTATATTCTTGAACACACAGTCTGTATTTTGTCCCATTTTCTTTAATTATAAAGTTGGTCCTTTGTTGGCCTATAAGGGCACTGTATATATTAAGGCTGGATTTTAATTCTTTTCAACATGTTTTTATGGCATGAGTAGGTTTAAAATACTTTAATTGGCTGTATACATATCAACCTTTCCCTTTTCTATTAAGTGACTGGAACAGTTTATTCTTTCACTAAAGTCACTGAATAACTACTTTGGCTATCTGGTGCCAACAACAAAGGCATCAAATTTATTCTATGAAAGAGGTCACAGTCTAGTAGGAAGTAAACAAATAGGCAAAGACTTATATAAGTGCTCAGAGAGCCAGAGAACCACGAGGTCTGCTGGGGTTGGGGCAGTGGTCCAGAGAGGCAGGCTCTGACTGATTTGGGGTGGATGGAGACCGGAGGTACATCCCAGGCAGACGGAAGGGCACTCACACAAAGAACACTGCATTATAGTACTTGAGTAAGCTGGTGACTCCAGGTGTGTGGTAGGAAGAACAGAAATGTAGCAGTCAGGGAGCCTTGGTGTTATGTTGAAGGTGTCAACTTGAGCTGCACATTGAATACAGGTGATCCCTAAGAGCAGAAGAGCTCTGGTCTCACTCCTGTTTAAGAAAGAAGATCACAGCAACTGGTGGAGGGGTTTGAAGTTCCTAAATAGTTCAGGCAAAGAAAATGATACCAGAAGGCAGTGGTGATAGTGATGGGTGGGGAAGACAGGCCTGGAAGAACATTCCAGATGGAGCATGAAGGGAACTGGAGAGTAACTGAAAGAAGGGATGAGGGGAAGAAGGGGTCAAAGAGAAGGCAAACATGGTGGAGCCTTGCTCTAAGGTAGGGAGGAGTGGAATAGGGGCATGGTGGGATTGTGAAGATGATTGGGCCTGGCTAATTATTTGGTGGACCTCCAGGACATCCAACTAGAGAAGCCCAGTAGCAGTAGGATGTAAGTTCTGGTGCAGTCCCCGCTGGAGACAGATTAAAGAAATGCTAGTGTTCATTTAGTTGTTCAAACAGGGACCACAGTTAGATTGCCTGGAAGAGGGACTCTCAGCCATGCTTTTACCAATGTGACCAACCACCCCCATTTGACAAACATACTCTACGTTATAATTTTAAAAAATAATAATTTTTAATTTATCCTATGATTTTACTGTGCTGTTCAATTAGCCTTTTCGAACTGTACATCCCCCTGCCTTTCGTGGCTGTCCCTCTATAAGAGATTGAAGATGGAGAAGAGAAGACTGAGGGTTGTCACTGGGAAATGCCAACATTGAAGGGACAGGTGGAATAACAGAATCTTTTTACATAACTTGCTGAGAATTATCTAAATATTTCACTCCATCAATAGTATTTTCCTCTTAAAAGCATTTGTTAGTCTGGAAGGAATCTGTAATTGATAGCTATTTGGGGGATACATTTGTTCAGGAAGAGAATGAGGGTAGGGAAATGAGAGAGGCCTTCCAAGGGGAGCTTTCCTGGGGGAGCAGCCTGGATTTGGCAGGGACAGGCCAACTCTAGTTAAAAAGCCCTGCTTACTTGCTCACTAGGTGACTTTGGGTATATTGCTCAATCTTTCTGTCTGACTTAGTATGTCTTCATCAGAAGTAAAGACAATACGACCTTCCACATGGAGCTGTCATGTACATTAAATATGGAGTATTAGACCTGAGAAGGCCTTGCCAATCAGCCTGCCTTATTTTTTTTTTTTTTTTAACATCCTTATCCTCACCAACCCTACACTGCATTAGGCCTTGGCCAGCATTCATGCAGTGAATCTAGTCCTTACTCCCAAACTTAACCCAGATCCTCTGAAAATACATGACCCTTTAGGTGGGCCAAGGCATGTAGGCCAATGTTGTTGACTTTCCAAACTATGAGTCCTTTGGGGTGGGGTGGGTGGAGAGAGGAGGAACATTCCAGGCAGAAGGAGTGGCAGTCACACAAATCACATTGCATTATGGTAGTACTTCACTAAATTTGTAGCACAGGGTGTGTGGTAGAAAGAATAGGGTCAGGTGTATTTAGACTATGGCAAATGGTGGAGGTGGTGGTTATGCATAGAGTGGCCATGCCCTTTGGCCCCAAGGAATGCTCACCACAAGAAGGAGTACAGCTCTCCAAAGCTTGAGCACCTAGGTGGCTGAGAAAAGCTGATACTGATGTTAAGGAGCCTAGCTCAGTGCCTGTCACCTGTTAGATTTTAACAATGTACATTCTCTTTCCCTTCACTCTTCCCATCCTGCTAGCCTCTTGTTCTAAAATCTTGAAAACCAATGTCAATAAAATGATGTCGTCTCCATTACTAAGATCATTGCTTTATGGTTTAAAACCCTGCACTCAACAGATAAAGTTTGGAGCCTTTATCTATTGCTCCAAACATTTTGAGGCCGGAGGGCAAAAAAATAATCAATGTAAATAATAAATAATTGGGTCTGATGGGGAAGGTGGGGGCCGGTCAGTAAGAAAATCAAATGCTGCCCTTTCCCCATCCTCCTTTCAAAGCCCTTCCTCCTGCTCCTGCTCCAAACTGTTGCTAAGGTGACCTGCCCCAAGGTTCCTCCTACGAGTTGTTAATTGATACTGCCTGGGCTGCTTTTTTGGCCATCCCATGGGCATCTCCTGGCCTCCAATCACTTAGGCAAGATGGCGAAATGAAGGAGCAAGATAAGGAGGAAGAGGGCAGGAGAACAAGAAAATCTAAGATGTATAAAAGGGACAGGACACTCCCACCAGCTATGGCCCCCTTCTTCCTGGGAGAAGTCTGTTTTATTCTTTAAATAAAACTTGCTTTCTACGCTTACCTCGGCATTTCTCTGGTGCTTAATCTTCACCTCTGAGAAACAGAACTCATCGTCACCCGTAACCAGTGGTATCAATATCACACATCACCGTGCGCTCTGGACTCTCCTAACTATTTCTGTCATGGCATTCATCACACTGTGGATAAACAACCTTTATGTCTTTGTTCCCACGGGGCTGTCAGCTCTTTGAGGACAGGGAGACAGACTCTTATTCTCTACTATTTCCCTAGTACCTCTCTATCTCAGAGCCTGACTCACTACACTCCCCTAAAATACTGGTGAAAGAAAGAAATAAATGAGCAAATAAATGGATGAAGAATACATGGATGAAGTCCAATTCCCCATGCTGGGATAAAATAGTAAAGTCCCACTGGTCATTTATGTACACTTTCCCCTGCTGCTTGTTTTGTGGGGAGGAAATTATTGTCTATATAGCTGCTTCATCCACTGTAGGCATCTTTGGGGTCGGAGGAAAAGAGGTTCCATGTGTGCCTCTCTGCTCTTGTTGTCAGCACCTGAACTCCCACACCCTCACACTTGGATTTTCCTGGCACAGAACATCAGCATCTCCAGACCATGACCTAGAGAAAAATCAACAAGAAGAAAAGGTCCCTTTTCCTCTTCTACTCCAAGAGATGTAGTATCTTCCGATCAGACAAGAATGAATCAGAAAGGAAGAATTAGGATTTACTACAGAAACTCTAGAACCTTCCCATCCATGTGTGTCTAAAGAGTCAGTTTTTTTTTTTTTTCTGTTTTTAATTGTGTGGAAACGAGCAGGAAAATGTGGCTGCTTAACAAATATTTGTTGAAAGGTAAATCAATACATAAGCATAATCCTGATTTTGTGTTGCTGTTTTCCTTGGAACACTTCTTACAGAAACCAGTTCAGGAAAAAGAGCCCCCATTCTGAAATGAGAAGGATCAGATAAAATAAGAAATCATTTGGACATTCAGTTTCTTGTAAACAGCTCACTTCCTTGTTGCCAATAATAGCAGTGTGAGCATTTCTACCAGGGGGTGTGAGGGGACTGGTCACACCTCCACCACAAGTTAGCCAAGGCTGCCTGGTGTAATTTCTCCTCCACGGTCCAATGCAATTACCTCATGCATCTAATTCAACACTGGGCTGGTAGCAGTAACCATCATTTAAATACCAACTAGAATCCTGCATCCAAAGAATTCATAATTCTAAAGCTAAAACATGAATGCAATAATTTTGCAAGCACAAAACCCTCAATTACCCACTAGAGCAGATACTCACTGTAAGTCCTGCATCTCCTTTTGGTCCTTGTAATCCCTACATAGTGCAAGAAGAGTTAACAGTCAATATAGTTGGAACCAGTCATGAGTATAAAATCACAACTTTTTAAATCGCATCTTGCCTGTTTTCCAGGAGATCCTGGGTCTCCAAGTTCCCCCTTTTCACCTTTCTTTCCCACATCACCCTGTTCTCCATGCTCACCCTTTAAAAATATGATAAAAAAGACAAGTTTAAAGTATAAGCATTAAAGTCAAATAGCAAAAACTCTGCAACTTGGTTTATTTGCAGCTGGTATCTCTTCAAGACCTGGAGCTCTTGTTGATACAAATATATAATATGAAAAAAAAATTGAGAGCAATTTGTTTACACTCCCTCAGCCATAGTTATCCAATTTATAATGAACCAGAGATATGAAGTGGCCATGTGATCAACTCCACAACTTCAGGGAAGGCTATTGCACAATTGTCCAGATTCCTGAGTTATCTGTTGTCTCCTGTATGTGTGTTGTAAGGATTTATCCCTTCATTGGCTGGCTTTTAAGAATGAAGGCAAGATTTTGTAAAATGAGCACATTTATAAGTAGAAAGGGCTATGCACAAGGTTTCAATTCCACATGGGTGTCTGAGAGTGTTAGGAAGAAGTGTGATGCATACGTGAGAGCTCATTTAAAGTCAAAGTTAAGCTATTGAGAGCTTAAGCCACAGCATTTCTCTAATATCCTGAAATACTTACCTTCTGACCTGGGAGGCCTTGGCCCCTGGTGCCCTTTGGCCCTGGAAAACCTTGAGGTCCTTGTTCTCCCTATACAGGATGTAAGAAAGAATGTTTCCATTAATTGTCCAGGATAACTCAGAATATTTGGACTTTGTTGACTTTCTCTGCTGTATAGTATCCCATTAAATAACAGGACTATAATTTATCCATTATCCTATGGATGAACATTAATTTCTAATATTTCTATATTAAAAATAGTGCTTCAATGAATATTTTTACATACCTTTGCACAATTGTACACTTCCCTAGGAGGAAACCTTTACATCAAAACAAATATACAGAATAGTACAAAATAAAATGAACACAAGTAAATACTTTCTGAAGTTGAACTGAAATACTCAGTTCTTCATGAGCCCAGCCCTAACATCTAACAGCAGATTTTCACAACTAGACTCCAAGGTTTTTTTTAATCCTCTGACATGTTGTGTTTCTAAATGGATTGCAAGTGTGGTGTTACACTCTTGCCTCCTCAATTCAACACAAGAGGACTTAAAACAAGTTTCCTACCATGGTCAGACTTCTCAGAACTTATTCCCTGAATGGCACTGCACCTTGGTATCCCTTGAGCCAAGCCCAGTGCTATAATATAGCGGACCCACCAGGAAAGTTTATGCAGTATTGTACAAATCCTGGGCTCAGCTAAGGAGACTCATGCTTGAAGAAGGAGTGCTTTCTTTATTAATTGCTTAGTTGGTTGAAGTGGACAGGTAAAGATTATTGGTCTCTATTCAATTTAGAGTCAAGAGAGAATCCTCTTTTCTCACCAGGGAATCTGGAGGTTTTAAGAGGTCCTGAACCTGGATAGGGACTGATATCGGTTACATATACCCTAAATATTAAGTCAACACTTGGATGTGAAGCTGAAGATTCAAGGAAAGGGAGAAAAATCTGTTCTCTTTTTCAGAGAAGGCACTCCTCCCACAGGTAGGTATCAGGAAGACAAAGAGGCAGGAATGTACAGGAAACAGATCACCCTCACTACACACACTGAAAGCCATGCTTCAGCAGGAATGAATCTGCAGCCTCATCTGGAGGAGGAGGCAGAAGGTCTGTCTACATACAGACTGGAAGGCCAGAGCTTAAAGTGGCCTGAAACACCCCGAGGAGTTGCATGCCTAGAATTCTACTGTGCTCTGCTCTAAGTAAATGTAAAGGAAAAAAAAAATATGAGAAGGAAGTATTCTCTTAAGGAAGATGTTCCAGTTAAAAACACTTTGGTGGAGGTTTGTTTTCTCAGATTTTTATGAGATGAATGAGCTATTTGTGGAAGGTAGCTTTGGCTTGTCAGGGAGTCTCAGACACTGGGATCAGAACTGGGAGAATTGAGATCAGAGATCCAGGAGGGTTTCTGGCCAGGTATGAGGAAATTAAAAGTTCACGGGAGAACACTAAAAAGAAACGAATGGTTGGCTCTGTCCCAACCCCAAAGGACAGCCAGAGAGCGAATCACTGTGGGACCCAGCTGCAGTGGTGACTTATCACTGGGACATCTATATTTAGACAAAGGGAGTCCACCTTTCAACAATTATTCAGAATATTTATTCTTTGACAACATCTCAGATCTCCACAACAGCTAATACAAAAGACGTCCAATAAAAGTTGGTGACTAACTAGCTGCTTTTAAGAAATGACACAATTTCCTAACAAAGTTAAAAGCTATTGTGGCTTCCTCACCACACCCTGAGGGGAAAACCTCAGAGAGCCAGTTATCATGTTTGGATCCTTCTATGTTCAGGAATTTATTTTGGGATACTTCACACATAAACATTTTCTATATAATTGCTAGAACTATAGTCATTCCAGGCACCTGGATTTCCTTATAGTGAAGGCATTTTCCCCCACTTTAAATTACCAGTTTCCCTTCGAAATACTTGAAGGCTTCCTATAACTTTCAGAGTAGATTACCAGGCTAAAAGCCTCTTACCACGTAAGTCCATATCTTAGCTTGGCAGAGGTGGACACTATACAATCAGATTTGTTTTTTTCCCTTTATAAGTCTCAGGAAAAAGATAAACAATGTTTTTAGCGCGAGTCAAAGCAACTGCAGGAAACAACCTTTCAGAAGGTATGATTAAGTGCAAACTTTAAACCTAGCTTCTTAATCACTGTACCACTTTGTTGACTCTTAAATCTGTCCTGTTAACAATGTGATAGTTTTGTTTTCAGATGATTGCTTAATCTCCAGGAAAGAAGTTTTTAAGTGTAATGCACAACTACCTGAATGCTTCAATGATTTTTTTTTTTATTACTGATGTCAGGAAACAATAGTGTTTTTTTCTAAATGTTCTATAAGATGCAGTAATTAAAAAAATAAAATTCATAGATAATCAAAGAATGTAAAGGGGACATCTGGCTTCTGCTCAGAATATAGAAAAGTAAAAAGTCAATCCTTCCCTTGTTCTTACAATGACTTACAACCTGTGGAGTCACAGCTTTTTTTGAATCTGTCATAGAGCTGTGGTTTCAGGGAAATCGGCCAACTCCATATATAAGGAAGCACGAATCGTCCACAGAGAGGCAGAACCTGACCACTCAATACCTGGGGGAGAGCCCAGGATTGGTAAGGAGGATTTGACTAAAATTTTTAATAAATTGCTAAAGGCCAATACAGGCTACCAGGAGAGGAGGAGAGCTGGAGGCACAAGGGGAAATGGCACCCATCACAGGCTCTTCTTCTTTGGGGACCTTACCAGTGCTCATAAGAAACCTAGGGCAAGTAAGAGTCTGAAGAAACTCTCTTCTGGTGCAGGCAGAGGGAAGTAGGAATCTCCAGTGTCTTGGCCTGTCTGTGCTGACAATATACCATGGAAATAGGTTGCTTATAAACAACAGCAATCTAATTCTTATAGTTCTGGGGCTGAGAAACCCCAGATCAAGGCATTAAAGGATTCATTGTCTTGTGAGGGCCTGTTTCCTGGTTCATAGATGGTGCTTTTTGCAGTGTCCTCACATGGTGGAAGGGGCAAGGCAAATCTCTTAATTACCTCCCCAAGGCCCCTGAGTGCCTGGTAGCATTTCAACATGGATTTTATGTTCAGACTATACCACCCAGGGCAGGGTACGACACTCCCTGTGAAACAAAAGTCCTAAAACTCTAGGGAAAGGCAGCAAACATTGTTATCTTGAGGGCACAGCGGATGACCCATGCCCACTGGGGGCCGGAAACAGAGTCAATCTGTGGGAATGAATCCTGGCACCGACCTGTAGAGCAGCTCCACTGCTTGGGGAGGTTCATAAAGTCAGGCTCAGCCAAGACCGTTAGAGGCCTCTATAGATTTGCTGGAACTCATAGAACCACACACTTAAAAGAGGGTGAAAGTTACTTTAACTAAATCATTTTTTACTAAATAATAATTTTTTAAGGTAAAAAGAATCAATGAAATACTTGGGAAAATGCAAATAATGCCTCTAGATTTGATAGTATTATATCAATAATAATTGCTATTTATCACCCTACTGTGTTATGTAAGAGAATGTGTTTGTAGCAAAAGGACTGCAGTTAGGGTAAAAACGACACTGTAGCTGGAACTTACTCTCAAAAGTTAGAGAAAAAGAATATGAATGTTGGTACACACACATACTTTGATAAAGCAAATGTGGTGATGTTAACTTTTATGGAATCTGGTAAAGGGGATACGGGAATTCTTCGTACTATATAACTTTTCTGTAAGTGTGAATTACTTCAAATAACATTTAAGGTTAAAACAGCATATAAAATGAATGAGTGTAAAGGTAAATGAATGCATTAAATGACTGCACACAGGCATCGGCTATCATCCCGGCAGCAGCTAAAAAATATAAGTATACAAGTGTTTTGTCTACCCAAAGTTTTGGGTACCCACAGGCCAAAAGAATACCAAGGGACCTAAAACAAAGCCCTGGTGTGGGTTTCCTGAGGTGACTCCAGCTCTTTATATACAGGAGGCTTCTATCATCACCAAGAACCTTTGTATTTCCCCAGGATTGAACCGAAGATGGACTTCAGTTCAACCACTTGAACCAGAGATGGCATTGTCCTGCCTGAACACGGCCAGTTCATAAGCCCAGCACTGGTTATCCACCACCACCAGACCGACCTTTGCCTGCCTAGGCGTAAGGGCAATGCTAACAGAAAGTAGATACTTAGGCTGCAAGGCAAAAAGGGAGCCTTCAACAGCCATTTTCCCTTCCTGTTTGAGTCACATCTCCCAAGTTTCCTCTGTCATCCCGAAGATGATAATAGAGATATTTATAACACAGCAATACTTATATCTAAAGAGATACATACTTCATTTTTACCAAAGGGTATGAAGGTGCCCATTATTAAGTAAGATAAGAAACAAGTTATTCTAAGATTTCAACACAGGCCTGTTGTCTTGGACTGAAATGTGGAAGGAGAGAGAAAACAGACTCAACTGGAATTTTAACCAAAACCCAGGCTCAATGTAGAGACAACACTTTTATCAACAAACTTTATGACTTTCAATTTTACTGTTGAGCTGTTTTCTTATCATTTTCTATAACTTGCTCAAAGAAAAAAGGCTAAAATCAGTAATTATAAAAAATGTCCAAAGTCCAGTATTTCCGGTTCAAATGGAATTCAAGTTCCTCCTGTCAAGGGCTGCAGTCCTGTCTGAGAAACTGCCACGACCTGGTTATATATTGAAAACAAACAGCACTTCTAGCTAAACAGCTACAGGTTAACCAGGGCACTCTAGGCTGAGAGGGCTAGCTGTAGAAGCACTGGGGGGGGGGGCATTTTGCATTTGTAAGGAATATTCTTTGCTAAGATGCAATCATATAACCTATTGAAAGCCCAAACCTATCCCCATTACTTTGTAGTGGCCCTCACATGTACCAAACTTTTTAAAAATTACAATTCTTTCCTCAGCTTCTTCTCTAGTTTGCCTTTCCTCCTTTCTGATGGTGCTGACTGTATTGCTAATAAGGAAAAAAAGGAGTTATACATTTTGAAGATGGGGAGTGAAAGCCTTCTGCAGCTAGAATAGCGCAATCAATGTTGAACTAAGATGCTGGTTGACCTAGTG